ACTTAAATTTTATAAAGTCAGAGTAGAAGATATGAAGTCATTAACACCAAAAACAAATTAAAATTTGAAAAAGATGTACTAGTTTTTTTATTAAAATATACAGATAACATAAACTATGCAAAAGAACTAATTATTTTCATTCCAGTTCAGTAAAATTTATTTTTCAAGAATAATACTTTATATACATTAGTTATAACAAAAAAATTAAATTCTATTAAACCCTATTAATATATTTTTGCTGCCAAGGTACTAAACCTACATCAGATATTAAATAGTTGGCTAATCTATCCCTTAATCTTGTTACAGCATTTGCAGCCATTTTCGAAACCATTCGAACAGCAGGGCATTCGAATTTGTATCAGTTTTTGTATTATTCTCTTTTAATAAAATTAGAAAAAGATTGTTCCACAAGATTTATTTCGAGAAAAAAATTATTAACAGTACAAGTAACAGTAACAAAACATTTAAATATTTGTAGCACAAAACACCTTGTTTACCCTTAATTCTGAATCTGCTGATGCTTTCAGTTTCCGTTCTCGTTCCTGTTTCCTTTCTCGTTCTCGTTCCCGGTCAATTGTGCAGCCGCCTTAAGAGTGCATGTCATTCACGTGATCATTCCATCTTTTCAGCGGCTCAACTATAGACTCTAGTATATAAAGACCGAGAAACAGTCAAGGTTCGAGGTAAAGAGATGGCAAACACGGGAAACACAAGTCGGGAGTTGAGTCCAAATAAACGTAGGAACGGCTAGATTGTCCCATCATCTGGCCGAGACTGCTGCTATGAAAACGAACATAAACATACTGGTTACACCTGAGACAAATCCACCAGCGGTAAAGAAAAGAGGCTGGTTTGTGGATGTAACTGGAAGGGTCGGTGTACGAATATGTAACAGGAAGCTGCGAATATATGAAATAAAGGCAAACGAAGGGTATATGATCATCGATAACTTCTTCTTCGGCTAGTGCCTATCCTCTATGGATGTTGTCTACCACAATGACCCATCGTATTTTATTAGCAGCTGTTCGAAATAGGTCTGTAGTGGTCATACCTGTCCACTGTGTCAAATTCTTAAGTCAGGATATTCGGCTTCGTCCTGGTCTGAACGATTTCTCACTATATGTCCAAAGTATGCTAACTTTCTTTCTTTAATGGATTTCAAGACTTCAGGTTCTTTTTGTAAACTTTGCATTATTGCGTCGTTAGTTATATGATGTACATATGATATTCTGAGCATGCGACGATAGCACCACATCTCGAAAGACTTCAACCGTCTGCAAGACGCATCAGTGAGTGTCCATGCCTCTGTTCCATACATAAGAACAGAAAACATAACAATTAAGGATTTTGAGTCAGAGATGTAAGTTCAAGGTTAAGTTGCAGAGAACTTTCTTCATCTGTTGGAAGGCACTCCTTGCTTTTTCGATCCTACATTTAATCTCGTATGAGTGATCCCAGCTGTCTGTGATGTTGCATCCTAGGTATGTTATTTTTCTATTCTATTCTGTTCATCGATAACGGTAAGTGATTATGAGAGGAAGATCATGGAGGAGCTGATGCGTATGAGAGGAGAATGCGTGGTGCTTCGAGCTTTCAACTCTGATTGGATTGCTTCATCTGATTGGGTGGGTACTTTGGATTTGGAGGTACTGAACACCGGTCAGGAGCCCACCTTCGTGAGGAGAAGTACGGGTACGCCCATCGATGTTACCATGGCTACACAGAGAGTAGCAGCAAAAATAAAAGATTCGTCAGTCTTGTCAGACTATACCGGAACGGAACATTGATACATCGGATTCTTGATAACCAAAGCAGGAATTACTAACAAGGTTCGCACGTCCGGGATGTCCAAAGTCGGATGCGACGATGGGTGAGACTGGAAGACATGTGAGGAACTTATTAAATTAAAAGTAGGAATGATACAAGGTCAAACGCCAATCGCCAAACTCCAACGGGTGAAAAACCTGGGACGAGTTATGAAAGAAGATATAGAAGGCAGTAAAACAGGTCGTCGAGAGGTAAGCAGGGTGCCATAATGGTAGAGTGCGGACATCGAAGAGCTCAGAGATGAATGCATAGCCATGAGAAAGATAACGAGTGCCAGGGGCAGAGCAGAGAAAAACTCTGTTGTCGTCAAGCAAATCTAGCTAATCGAAATAGAATATCACGCACGAAATAGAGAACTCTACAAAAAAATTCGTACAGAAAAAAAGAAGGCATTTGAGAGAACGGTGTGGCAAGCTGGATGACTCCATATCCCTTTTAAAAGAGACTGGAGATGTTGGAGTAAATGTTATGCATATGATCTGCAAAAAGATTTGGGAAACCGGAGAGTGGTCCAACGACTGGACAACATCCACTTTCATCCCTATATTCAAAAAAGCCTGGCCGCATGTTGAGAATATCCTGTATTGATCATCGTACTAATGTATCGATATTAGAACAACTTAAAATAAAGGATAGATTGGTTAAACAAATACAACAAAGATTTTTGCAGTATTTTGGACACATTGCTAGAAGAACAGGAACGATGGAAAAACTGATAGTCGAAGGTAGAGTTGAAGGAAAGAGACCTAGGGGAAGATCTCCAAGCCGTTGAGTAGATCAAATAAAAATATTGATTAACCAAGGGTTACAGGAAGCCGAACAACTAGCCTAGGACAGAGAAGGATGGAGGGAAATCGTGAAAAAACTGTGAAGGCCTGATGGTGTCACCACATCCCAAAAGGGATTAGGACTAAGAAAGAGGCTCCCTCCCATGCATCCGAAAGTTGTACGAGATGATGTTGCGAGGACGATTCGACGAAACAATTGAGAGATTAGGAGGCCTATCCCCGAGACAATTTGGATTCTGCAAAGGCAAGAGCACAATTGACGCAATTTTGGGTGTAATCGAGACAACATTTACGACAAACAGCGCTGGGCGGCTCTGCTGCTCTTCGATGTAAGAAATGCATTCAACACTCTGCAGTGAAAAGAGGTGATGCGGGCATTGGATGAGCAGGAGTGTTTTAAACCTGTGTCTTAAACTATCTGATGAATGTGATGGCGGAACATATTTCCAAGAGAAAGATCATAGTTGAGAAGGGCACGTTCGTTGACGTAATGGACAGAGTCCCACAAGGATCGGTCTTGGGTCCGCTTGGCTATGGAACCTGGCATATGACGGGGTCATGAACTGCGAATATGGAGAAAGTATAAGCACCTTCGCTTTTGCGGATGATCTCGCTGTGCTGATAATAGCGCGGGACGAGCCAAATCTTCAATTTCGGGTAAAACATACGTATAACGTCATAATCGGGTCATTATTCAAGCGCTAAATTCGCAAAAGAGTACATTTGTCCTGATTTAAACTTTAACAGATTATTCAAAGCTTTTTTAGCAAATGTACAAGGCTACCTATAAGTTTTATAGGTTTGTGTTCATCAAGGATTTTCCTAGTCTTGCTTTTCACAGACCACGAGTTGATAATTGCAGCACATGAGATAAACTAGAGCTTCATCAACATAAGGCCGAGAAGGCTAAAGCCTCGTTAAAGCAAGATACCACCAGAATCACAAAATGTTGTTTATTTATGGATCTCCAGCAGGTCATGTTTGTTCCATCATTGACCCATAGCGATATGTTCTATTTATCACAGTTATTCATTCTATTCATTCTATTTTTACTATTTTTAGTGTTTGAATAATATATATAATATATATGTGTAAATTATTGTAATTGTATTTGTATATTTATCGTACTGTGAAAGTCCATACGCTAAATAAATAAAAATCTTGCTATGACTGAGTAGTTTATGTTCGTGATACGAATGAGGCCTACATGGGTATGTAGCTTGTGTATGATTATTTACAGTGATATTTTTGGTAGCTAACGGCATTTTTCACAGCAATGAGCAAAAGTTTCTTGTAGGCAATTACTTTATGTTCTGTGACCGAGATATTGCATTGATCTAAAACCGCAAGGTGGTAACTTGAACTTATGTGTCTTCAGACCTTCATACAGTAGTTTAATTCGCAACATATTATCCATCATTTAATACTGTTGGCTTAACAAGTTATGGATTTTGGAATCTAAAACGAGCAGCAGATGAGCACATTAATATTACAAAGCTAAATATCAGCAAAGCTACATCTATAATGACCGTAGCAACGAATCCTGTACTTGTTAAGATAAAAACTGCGTTTTCTGATCTACAAGAATCGGCAGATGTTAACGTCTTAAAGAAAGGGAAAACTAGCAAAACTTGGACAAGCTTATATAGAAGATAAAAAGAAAATCAGAAAATAAAGTCCCTTCGAAGCATGATTCCATATCTAAAGTCTCCAGAAAACCAACTTCTCTACAAACAGCTGCTTCAGATTAAAAAGAATGCTTAAAACAAGAAAGCTCCTTAAAATGTATGTGATAAAAGTTAAGACACTTACGCCCTTTCCTATTTTGCTTTTTTTAGTTATAAGAAGTTACGTTATTAATAAGCTTTCTTAGTACATATTTACCATTTTATGTTAAATATATGTACCAAATAAACCTTTTGTCAGTAATGTTTTTAGATCTTTATACCGCTTTTTAGATTATCTTAAAACTTTTCCATTCTTCAGTTAGCATACTTTTAAAGTATGTTGTCGTTTTCACATACTTACACTTTATAACTAATTTGTACATAATACAGTAGTACAGTAGTTAATAATACGAGTAGTGTCTTATTTATGTAAATACGTTAATGTGAAATCTGTCAGTCTTATCTCAATCTCGAATTTTATTGACAATTCAGAGATACATTAAAAATTTTAAAGTAGAACTTTAAAATATATTTTATATTAAGAAATAGAATTTTGTGTATTTTGGTCTACTTTATAAAATGTTAACCAAATTTAAGGTTGATATGTCAATTATATAGTTTTAAAATATACCTAGGTACTTTGGTTTTATTTCAAAATAGAAATTTAATCGTAAATGTCTGAAATTCCGTTTAGTCATAAACAATAGGTATACGTTACCAAGCTTTTATCTCCAATGACCTCTACCATTCATTTGCGAACCAGATACAATCACAGGGCTGGGTGGAACGGCTCTGGCTTCATACATACCTCGTGGTACTTCAGATCTTTCCAACTCCTCTCCGGAAAGATCCAAATCTTGTACCATTTGCATTATTTCTCTTTCTTTTTTTATATCTTCTCTATCTTCTACCTAAAGTATAATACCGTATATAAGTAAATATTAATAAAATTAATATACACAATGAGAGGCATTCTTTATGGAATATACATAGGACATGAAGTTGTGACGGCCTACACATAAATATACGAGTTAATTTCCAAAGATGGCAAAACAGTTGAAAGGATAACTGAAATTTCTATTCTTACACAAAATTTAAAAACAATCTTTTCAATTGGAAATAATATAAACATACACAATCATTTAATATGTCGATTGTAAAAGTGATAGTCATCGGTGAAACCTAAAGAGAAAATATTGGTAGTAATAGGTTCGTTAACAATATATAGAGGAAACACTATTTTCACTATTATTTATCCAGATTTAGCCATACAGCTCACACTCCCTCTAAGGGGATAATTCAGTCGACCCAGATACCTACAGAATCAAAAGGATTGAGCTCTGGTGGGACTCTTTCCGTGTTATCGAGCCCTAGGTGACTTGGTATGCTGGAGTATCTCCCAAAAATTTTATACACACCTGGACATCGCGAGGAGCATAACTTTCTGAATGACCTTATAGAGATGTTCATTTAGACCCAGCTGTTTTATGTTATCTAGGAGGTTTTTGGGAATAACACCAGTAGTAGATACAATAATAGGTACTGTCAGAGTACTTTCCATTCTCCATTTCCTCCTGATTTGTATTTCTAGATCTCTGTACTTGGCGATATTTTCGTTGTATTTAAAACACAAATTATTGGTGTTAGGTATCGCCACATCAATAAGTGTTGTTTACCTAGACAGTCTATTAACTAGTATGAGATCCGGTCTATTATGTGCCACGCCACTGGTTATTCTGTGGGCACAGTGCGTTCCAGTGTGTGTGTGTGTGTGTGTGTGTGTGTGTGTGTGTGTGTGTGTGTGTGTGTGTGTGTGTGTGTGTGTGTGTGTGTGTGTGTGTGTGTGTGTGTGTGTGTGTGTGTGTGTGTGTGTGTGTGTGTGTGTGTGTGTGTGTGTGTGTGTGTGTGTGTGTGTGTGTGTGTGTGTGTGTGTGTGTGTGTGTGTGTGTGTGTGTGAGCGCTTGCGTGTGTATGTGTGCGCGTGTGTCTGTATGCGCGCGTGTGTGTGCGTGTTAAATTAGATTAATATTTAAATTATTCTAATTCTACATCTTAGCACAACAGCTGGAGACAATATATATATATATATATATATATATATATATATATATATATATATATATATATATAAATTGTAGTAATAGGCCACATATAAAAGAAGAAGAAGAGGCGTGGCACCATGAAGTTAGATATAGAGGTTAGGAGGTTAATATAAAAAGATGTAACGTGTATATTGTTAATCTTATAGTTTTATTAAATATAACATTTAATAATTACCGAGTATTATTATTACATGGCGCAGTCAGTACAAGAGCCAAAAGTACAGTTATCCAGAATGGAAGGAAAAGTGCCAGAATCCATGAAATTCTAGGTGAACCTTCATGAAAATTTTAGACGGTTTTACCAAAATTTTGAAATGTATCTTATTGCAACTGAGAAAGATGACAAAGCCGATAGAGTAAAAATTGCTTTGTTTTTAAATATGATTGGACCAGAAGGAGTTGATATATATAACATTCTCAAAATACCAGAACCGAATAAATTTGATAGTGTCATATCAGAATTTAAGAAATATTGTGCTCCCAGAAGAAATAAAACATATGAACGTTTTGTATTTAATAAAAGAATTCAAGCTGCAGATGAACCTTTTGATAGTTATCTTAGTGATCTAAAAAAGTTGATACAAAGTTGTGAATATGACAAACAGGAAGACAGCATATTGACAGATAGGTTAGTTTTAGGAACAAATAGTCCATCAGTTCAAGAAAAATTATTAAATACTCAAAAGTTAACGCTTGAAACAGCAATAGAGATATGCAGAAACTCTGAAATAACAAAAAAGCAGTTAGAATCTGTAAGAAACAATGAAAGTTTGGAAGTAAGTGCAGTAAAAAATAGACAAGACAGTGGAAATACACAAAGTGAGTTAAAATTTTTGTGTAGAAAGTGCAAACGTAAACATGTAGCTGCCCAGTGCCCAGCGTTTGGAAAGAATTGCTTTAAATGTGGTGCAGCAAATCACTTTAGTAATGCGTGTTTTGCTGAAATGTCCAATCAGCAAAGATATAAAAGGCAAAATGTTAAAAAAGTTAAAGAAATTAGAAGAAATGACGAGAACATTAATGACTCTTCAACAGATGATGACATGCATGTGCATACTGTGAAAGGAGTTGGGGCAATCAATAGTAGAAGTCGTAATCAGTGGATTGAGGTAGTCAACATAAACAACCAAGACATTGAGTTCAAGATGGACACTGGATCAGAAGTAAATATATTACCCAGTGATATTTTAAAAGTCGTATTCAGAAACAGTAAGTACAAAATTGAAAAGTGTAATACTATATTAGAAGCTTATGGAGGTACACGTTTGAAAACTTTAGGGAAAATTACTTTAAATTGTAGGAGGCTGGATAGGAATTATAATTTAGAATTTGTAGTTGTAGATTTAAAAGTCCAGCCAATTTTGGGTTTAAAAACATGTTATTCTTTTGACTTAATTAAAGAAACACAGAGTGTAAATGTTGATGAGGAACTTACTAATAAGGAACAATTATTACTAGAATATAAAGATGTATTTGAGGGAATGGGCACATTCACAGGTTTTTGTAAAATACAATTAAAAAATAATAGTGTTCCAGTAGCTAGACCAGCTAGAAGAGTACCATTTACTATAAAAAATAAGCTAAAAGAAAAATTAGGTAAATTAGAAAGTAGAAATATTATATACAAAGTAACAGAAGCATGTGAATGGGTTAATAATATAGTTATAGTTGAGAAGCCAGATGGTTCACTGCGTCTGTGTCTAGACCTTAATAAATGTATTGTCAGGGAATATTTTGAAATTCTTAGTTTAGAGGAAATAAGTTCGAAACTGTCAGGAAAAAAATATTTTTCAGTATTAGATTTCAAAGATGGCTTTTATCAAGTTAAATTAGATGAAAAATCTAGTTCCTTAACAACATTTGCAACTCCATTTGGGTGTTACAAATTTCTCAGATTACCATTCTGTCTAAATCTGGCCCCAGAATATTTTCAGAAATTGTAAAAATTTTGGTGACATTGAAAATGTTATTATATATTTTGATGATCTATTAATTGCATCTGATTCCATGGAGGAGCATGACAAGACACTTAAAATAGTGTTTAATAGAGCTAGAGAAATGGGTGTAAAGTTTAGGAAATCAAAATTTCAGTTTAGACAAATGACAGTGAAATACATGGGACACATTTTTAGTGAAGATGGTATGAAAATAGATAATGATAGATTGAGGGCTATAAATGACCTAAAAAACCCGTCAAACAAGAAAGAGCTTCAAAAACTACTGGGTGTAGTAAATTATGTACGAAAATTTGTTCCAAAATTGGGTGAGATTGCAAGCCCACTGTATCAATTACTGAAAAAGAATGTTATTTTTCAGTGGCTTGGAGTTCACAGTAAAGCACTGGATGTGATAAAACAGGAACTTGCTAAAAATATATCTCTAAAGAATTTTGATTCTAGTAAAGATATTGTAATTCAAACAGATGCGTCTCAGTTTGGTTTAGGATGTTGTCTAATGCAAGGTGGAAGACCTGTTGCTTATGCTTCTAGAGGTTTAACAGATTCTGAGGAAAATTATGCTGTCATAGAGAAAGAGTTATTAGCCGTAGTGTTTGCATGTCAAAAATTCCACAATTATATTTATGGTCGCTCTGTAAAATTCATAACAGATCATAAACCTAATGTAAGTATCATGAGTAAGCAAATAAGTCAAATTAGTTCTCCTAGGTTGCAGAGGCTAAAACTGAAGCTACTGAAATATGATATACAAATTCAGTATGTACCTGGTAAATATTTACATATTGCTGATTATTTGTCTAGAAATGTAAGTGATGAAAGTGCAGAGAATGATGCTGATATGAATGAAATGGTGCATTCACTAGAAAAGCATTTAAGAATGAGTGATACTAGAAAGATTCAGTTTAAAGCAGAAACAGTAAAAGATAATGTACTGAGCAAAGTCATTGAGTGTTGTCTGAGAGGGTGGAAGAATACAAAGTATGAAGGAGAGATGAAAGTTTTTCACCAGTTAAGAAATGAGTTGTTTGTTAATGATAATCTTTTATTTTTCAATGATAGAATTGTTGTACCTAAAGTTCTGCGAAAAGAAATGCTTCAAATTGTACATGAAGGTCATTTTGGTATAAATCGTTCAAGAGATCGAGCAAAAGATGTCTTATTTTGGCCAGGGATGAGTGTGGATATTGCGAATGAGATACAGAGTTGCAAAATTTGTGAAAAGTATAGGTATGCAAATAGTAAAGAGTCATTAATATCTCATGATGTCCCGGAATTGCCATTTCAAAAATTGGGTGCTGATATTATGGAACATGGTGGCAAAGCTTATTTGGTTGTTGCTGATTATTTAACGAAGTGGCTAGAAATAATCCCTATAAGAGGTAAACAATCGTCTGATGTTATAAATGCACTCAAGCAGATATTTGCAACACATGGTATACCAGATGTAATTATAGCTGATAATATGCCTTTTGGATCGTATGAATGCAAAAAGTTTGCAGATAAATTTGAGTTTAAATTTCAAACTAGTAGCCCCCATTACCCTCGATCGAATGGTTTAGCTGAGAGGTTTGTACAGATATCTAAAAATATTATTGGAAAATCAGATGACATAATGTGGGTTGCTCTAATGAACTATCATAATACTCCTGTTACTGATCTCAAGAGGTCACCAGCTCAACTTCTATTTGGCAGAAAACTAAAAACTAAATTACCAGTTGTTGAAAAACAAAATAATATCAAAGAAGTTAGGTCAAAATTAGAAGAAAGAAATAATACTTATAAGGAATATTATGATAGATAGACAAGAAATAGGCCCGAATATAAGCAAGGTGAAAATGTGGTATATAAAGA